CCTAGCATCCCCCCCTTCTCTCTCTCTCTCCCTCTATCCCTCCTCTCTCTCATGTGCCGTGATCGATATGGACGCTGAGGGAGTGGGGGGACCTGTCTGTCAAAGACGGGCGCTGGAAAATGAAGGCTCAGATGAAGGAGGCATGCTCTGTATATTAAATGCCTGGACCCCTGTGAGGGGTGGAGGGAGAGGAGTTTCAGGGTGGGGGGTGAAATATCAATAGGCTTCTTCTTAAAGAGGCACAAGGCCAAAAACAGTGATGCAGAGTAGAGGAGGGGAGTGCATGGAAAGGAAGCTGTGAACTGAGGCGGATGAAGACGTTTGGGAAGACGAAAAGATGCAGAACAGTCAGTAATGATATTAATTGATCTAACAAGCAGACATGAGGCAAATGAGTTTATTGCGCGATGGATGGATGAAGCTGGGGGCGGCGGAGGGGTTAGAGGAAGTAGGAAGAGGAAATGAGCTGGACCCAAAAAGTGTTAGGAAGAGTAAAGAGCTGAGAAGGGAGAAAGAGTGAAGAGCCGAAGTTAACGACTTTGCAGATTTCATTATAGAGATAGTTAACCCTGTTGACACTGAAGGAGGGCGCTATTCTCTCAGGAGGAGTCCGGTCCTTCCACCTCCACGCACAGAGACAGATGAGATCATTACAGCTATCAGCACCACTGCCATCCACAATTAGCACATCTCCTTTTCTTTCTCCGCTCCTCCATCCCCCCATCTCCCCTCAGCTCACACTGTCTTAACCCCCCCTCCCCACCCCCCGCCCTCTCCCCGTCTTTCTTTCTCCCCCCCTTTCACCTTGTGACACTTCTTTGGCCTTGATTTTGAGGCAATTTGACGAAACAAAAAGCCACATGGTGCAAACTGCTATCAGCTTTATACGGCTGGCTTGCTTGACCTTTCAAGACTCGTTCAGAAGCTACAGTGCCTTGAAAAAGTATTTGTATCCCTTGAACTGTTTCACGTTTTTTTGACGTTAGTACTTACTTTTTGTATCTTCTGTGAAAAAAACAAAAACAAACAAACAAACAAAAAACAAAGTAGAACATAATTGTGAAGTGGAAAGATTTTTGCAATAATTATTTTTTTAAAATTAGAAACTAAAATGTGTGGGATGGAAAAGTAATTAGAGAAAAGGCAGAAAGTCCAGTTTTAAGTTTGCAGATAACCCAGCAAACATTGTGAAGATTTTTTATTTTTATTTTTCATGTTGTACATACAACATGTTGTGTTTGGAGGAAAACTAATACACAAATACACCATGGAGTGGGGATGTTTCATTTCAGCAGGGACATAGAAACTGTTCAGAACACATGGCACAATGGATGAACTTAAATAAGGGAAGAAAGCCTGTTAAAAGTTACAAAAGACTTCATACTGGGGTGGAGGTTTACCATTCCAGCAGGACAAAATCCCTAAAAATACAACTATATCAGTGGCTTGGAGCATGTTCATATCCAATATCAGAATATATTTGACCCTAGTCTGAGAATTTTTGGTAATGCTTTTACCAGCTGTTGCTAGCTGTTCTCAATATGACAGAGCGTGAGCTACTTTTCAAAAAGAACTGAACAAAATCTTCAGTCTCTAGATGTGGACATGGAGACAAACCCCAGAAGACATGCAGCTGTGACTGCAGCAAAATGGACATGTGCTAAGAATTGACTCAGTGCTTGTTAAGTACACCTACTACGCCTTGTAGCATTTTATGTAAAAATAGCTATAAACTATGTTGCACATTTCAATTATGCACTGCCTTGTGTTGATCTATCTGATAGAAACCCCAACAAAATAAACTAAAGTTTATTGCTGTCATGTGACTACAGTTAACAATGACAAATTTCCCATTTATATTTTCTTTTTTCCATTAATTCATTGGATTTGTCTCCAAGGTATTGTGCAAACCTGTAAAGCAGACTGGACACTTGAAGGTTCCCCCCATGCCCTCGAAGCTGTGCTCAATCAGGTGGCATTGAAGCTTCGCCGGTGAGTCGAATGACTGACTACAGAGCTTGCATTCATGGTTCAGTCCTTCCTCTGCGGAGAAGAAACAACACAAACACACAGAGAACCATGAGTGGAAAAATAAACAGAGCATGAACGGCTGGGGAGCAGCAAAAGGTCTCACTCTGGTCTTAACCCTAACACCAACAGTTTTTTTTTATTTTATTTTATTTTTTCTCCTGTCTGAGATTTTCCTGATTCAAACAGGAAAAAAAGAAAGAACACGTGACCCTGTCCCGTCAGACTTTAACTGAATAACCAGTTGGGGTTTTAATTGTTCTCACTAAAGATCGTGGTGTACGTCATCCTTTTGATGAACTTGCACAAAATAATTATTTATTTTTAGAATTTGCTAATTAAAATAACATCAAAAGAGGTTTAGATAGATGGAAAGGGATTTGAGATTCGTAGAATCAGAATTTCCACTCAAGAGGATATTTCTGTTAAGATCTTTCTATCATAATATCTTAATATCATCTGTCTCCAGTTTGCTTTTTTAATAGGCCTGAATATTACATTAAAATTATATTATTAATGAATATAGTGATGGCTACATCAATTGAGATCAACCCCTGGTTTCCTACTATTCTCTTACTTTTTAATCAACTTGATGATGTCTCTAGCACTCTGACTGTTCAGAGGAGTTAGATCTAGTGTTGGCACAAGAGACACCGAAGATCTTGTTTTATTAGTTCCAAGCACTGATAAAATATCCGGCACATGAAACATGGTATAATAAACCATCAAATTGCGATACTGCACTCTTTAGTGCTACAATGCTAACAACATGTTAAAATGCAACCGGATGCCATGCGACTGCTGGATTACAGACGCATAAATCCAAGTCCATTTCAAAAACTCTACCAATAACATTTAAAGATTTCACAACTGTAAACTGTGCACTTTTATTTGGAGCAACCCGCTGACTCAGATTTCTAGAAAAAGTGCTCCTCTCCACTGTGTCAATAAAAGTGCTTGACACTCTGCCACAGGGCCAGACCGTGCACCATCAAACTCCTGGCAGAGCCCATCACTGCAGGTCTGAGGGCAGGGTGGATACCTCAGGGGCTCATCCAGGGTTTATCCCCAGGTCTCCACAGCCCACTGCCCACCACAGAGGCCCTGGGTACCGGGAGCATGTATACATAATCAAGCTAAACAGCTGTGCGTGGCCATGTCCAAGAAGAAAGTTTATTGTGCGTGTGCTATTTGCCAAATTAGGTAGAATGAAGCAACTTAAAAACCAGACAATAGCAACCATAAATGTAAAACATCTTATTTGTAATCATTTTTATATTTTTACAGCAGGATGTACGGCCATTATTGCAATCTTTTTTTTCACTGTCAATTTATTAGTACATTTGTATTTTCCTTTTTAGTGTTCGCAGTAAGGCTTTTAGACAAAGTAATGGCATCTGTAAAGAAAAAAAAAAATAGCTGCCATCACAGTTTCTTTGGCTTCGATTTGATGGTGAGTGCATGTGACAACTGGATCCTTAAACCCCCAGAAAAAAAAAAAAAAAAAAAAAGGAAATTGAAACATTTCCTGCAGTGATGGAAGAAACATTGAGAAAGTATATACACACTGAACTTTTATATCATAGTGCCTTTTTGCCAGATTTTCCCTTACATCATTTCTCAATAACATAAGTATACATTTTCTACCGAGCTTCTGATAATATGTTTACTGCATGGAAACAAGCGGCAAGCACCATACATCGCTGTGTTCTCGCAGACATCTCTGCTTGACAGGCAAAAACCTATCAAAGTAGTTCAAAAGGGAGCGAGTCAGTGTTGTGTTTGTTGCGATCATGTATTTGACAGATGAGTTACTCTGTACCCTACATGTGCATCTGAGTGTAGCACCAGGTATCAGCGAAAGGTGGGGACTGGGGGGAGGAGGCGCAGGGGAGGGTAGCGCGAGTGCATTCATGCAGCCGTGCAAGAGGATCGCTGTTCTCTTTGATCGCCACTGTTTGCCTATCTGTGTTAGGATGTGCACACTGGAGGTCAAGTTCGCCGCAGCTTACGCCGGACCCACTCCTCCACCATATGCGCAGCCCTCATTTGACCCCTGTACACAATGCCGTCCCTTTAGAGACCTGGCCTGTTTCATTATGCAGATAACTCCGCACCTGCATGACTGACCTTGTGCGAGCGAATGTCTATGTTTGTGTCTGTAAGCAGGTGCATGAGGCCAAAGCGGAGGCAGGAAGTTGAAATACTTCAATTTTAAAGGACAAGCCTGGTGATTTTGACAATCAGAATTGAAAAAGAAAAAAAAAATAGTGGTACTTGGTCGTATTTCAAATGAAATGGTATATGGAGCAGAATAATCACTGGCACGTGTCACTGATAGCGTGAACTTTGTGGCCCATTCTTAGTTTCTCTCGACATATTCACCATGTTTTACACTTACACTTAAGCAGCATATACTTCTGATGAGTTTTAGACATAAACTTTTACACAGATTAACGTTAAAAAGTTCTAATTTGGAACTACATTTTTTTCTGACTGAAGAAGCATAAAATATAGACAATTGTTGAAATATATTTGAATCATAAAGCATTTAAATCTTGTTCTTTTTTGAGAGGTGAGAGGTGGACTGAATGTGAGGATTTAGGCATGCAGAAGGGTACCAGATGACATATTGAATGCTGGTACTCAATATTCATCAGGAAGGTACAAAATGTCAATGGGGCGGATGTGGATTGATGCATCATATTGGCATAAAATCCCACGACTGACAGATCCATGTTTATGCTGGAAAGTATGAAATGCAGAGGCACAGCAGACAGACGAACTACAACCAAAACTACAGCTGTAAGAAACAATGAAAAGGTAAATGAACAGAACTTGATGTCATGTGGAGGCAATTATTGATTATATATATATATATATATATATATATATATATATATAACAAAAAACAATTATACTAGTGAATTTAAATTCTAGATAATTCCAGCAAATCTAACAAGCAACAATTAATGGACAGAGAACAAGCATTCAGATAAAGTTAGTCTAAGTGATTGCAGAGCAGGTTATGCTGTGTTCGGCCGCTGATGCAGCCTTCAGGACTGGGTTTGTATTCCGCAAAGTAGCAGAGGCTGAATCAGGCTGGCAGCCTGTTTCTTAGTGAGAGCCAAGGGAGGAAGTCAGCTTCCTCACCCCTATAGCTGCCTCATTGGGCTGAGGTCACTTCCTTTTGCCCCCCCAGCCCTTCTCCAGGCCTGCCCAATCAGCAAGGCCCTGTGTGGGCCCCCACCCCTCTTAGAGCACCGTGCAGACTCTGGATATAGTTACAAGGCCACGGGGGACTGTCAGTTCTCTCTCCCTTTCTTTCGCTATCCTCCCCTCTCCCTCCTCCCATTCTGTTTTTCTGAGTCTCCCGGGTGTTCTTCGCTGCCACCACCCTGTCCCCCTGCACTCCTAAGAAAATCCTTTAGATGAGAACTGCTCCTGCGTCTGCTCCCTCTAAGCATCCCTGACACCAGCAAAGTAAGCCCATCTGCATATCCACAGGGTCTCGCGTTCCTGGGGCTCATGGTTTATGTATTTCACAGCTCCTTAAAACACAAACGCCTAATATCTCTCCCATGTGGAGGACAGGAGAGGGAGAGGGGAAAACTACTTTCACAAAGAATGGCCTCTATTTCTCTGTGCTGTTTACTTTTTTATCCAGCCAGAGAACTGCGTGCTGTTGAAGGTTGTTTGGGAAGCAGGGTCTTGCGGATCTGGCTCCTGTAGTTTAGCAGAGTAAAAATTGATGCAGGCAGAGTTTACTGAGCATGGTGTGTTAACTTTAGCTCAAGTATTCACAGTGCTTGAACTTTTTGAAATTAAAGCAACCCGTTGTAGTTCTTGCTCTGTGTTTTTGGTTAGTCCACTGCCTTTTGGGTGAACTCGAGGCTTTTACAGCATCTAACATGTGGATTTCCTCCTGTCATTGCAAATATAGATTTTTTTTAATTTATTCAAATCACAGCTCAAAACACTTCAACCCATCTACAGTTAACATTAGCAACACTTTTTTTTTTTAAAAAAAGAGCAAGGCAATATTTCGAAATATAAAAGCTATAAAAAAAAGTTTGTTTTAGTATTGACAATTATGACAACAGGTGAAATAATTCATGGCATATAATTTATTTTGTACAGAACTGTAAAGGTTGAAATAACTATCTAATGATGAGTAACAGACTAAAAATAAAGTAACCAAAGGTAACCTTAATTTAAGACGACAGTGTGTAATTAAGTACAATGCAGGGGCATTGTTTAATTAAAAAAAATAAATAAATCTCCCTCATCTTATTCTGTTCCAAAGTCATCACTGTCCCTCACTACTTTTAAACAATTCTGCTGAGAAGCAGTTTGAATTAGAGCGCTTCGTTTTCCACGAGAAAAATCTGATACTTAGATTTACTCTCCTCTCTGGGGCACAGTGAACGCTTCTCTGAAGCTCACTATTAGAGGGACCCCAGTTGCTTGTGCGTCGCCAGAGTAGATGATATTAAGGACATCAATCTGGGCACTTCTTCTTGCAGAGAGTAATGAGCAAACAAGTGGGGGAACAAATTGAGAATATTTAGTAGACTTGAATGGGCTGTTTCAGAGAAGCGGAGAGGGAGCAGACGTAGCGATCAAAGCTTGTCCTCTCAAACTAACAGGCCAAAGCGCGGCTGAGTATCTAAAATGTCAAACGTTGCAATAAAAGGAAAGGAATACCTGCTTTGGATGAGCATGTTTTATGAGGAACTCCGCCTTTGCCTCACCATCTGTCTCCTACTTTTCAGCCTGATGTTGGAGTTATGTGTTAATAAACCAACAAGAACTGCTGTTCAGCAGACTCACTGCTGTACACACAAGCCACTGCAGGATGCTGGATGGCAGCAGAAGAGAAAGCTTCGGGCCTGTAAACAGTAGGTGGGTTTACTTCGTCTTCTCTCCACGGGAACTATCCATTAACTGATAATGGGGGGAAAATCTGCGTGATTAAGGCCCAGGGAATTATGGGTGAATACAAATTGACTCCACCTCCGTGTGGTGCGCTCTCTTGAGGTAGAAGCACTGCTCATAAGGCAAGAGCTCATTTCAGAAGTACTATGTGGCCCATTAAGGACCGGGGAAATGCAGAGTATGGGGGTGGGAAGGTGGTAGGTGGGAACTCAGAGGGATGGACTCCCCCTGGACCAAAACTGATTGGAGAACTGGTGCCTACGGGAGAACATTTTTAATACCGTCTTCCTGCCTCCACAGTTTAAGAGGAGCAAAGAGAATCAAGTTAGAGATTTTTTTTTTTTCATTGTCTTGCAAAACTATCCGCACACATTCAACTTGTTCTCAGTTTGTAAGTTTGCAAGCAGCAGAGTCATGTTATTTTGACTGTTTTATGTGGAAGCACAACACAAAGTGGGGCATTTTTTTAAGTGGAACAACAAAAATAAATAAAATAATTTTTATTAATTATAAATAATAATTTAAAAGGTCTGGTGTATTCAGTCCACTTTACTTTGACACCTCTACATAAAGGTGGTTATTAGAGAACAATAGAGAACAAACTGAATGCATTTATATAGCAGGGAGAGGAATCCTGGTCAGTGTTTAAGAAAGGATGGACAGAGCAAAATGGAAGGGGCAAAACTGGAAGAAAAGCAATTTTAGGTCACAAAAGATTAAGGTTTGGACGACACCCTTGCAGCAGAATGACATTAAACTTACAGCTCATGTTGCATTTCTTTATATCCAACCATAATAATTTTCTAGTATCAATACTTCTGCGTACTTGTGACATATTAAGTAAAATGTCCTAATTTACAAAATGTATGACAATATCATTATATAACATAAAGAGGAAGGGATATGTGTTGATGCGTCAACTCATAAAAGTGAAAATACTGGAGAATGCTGGAGGACGACTGCACCAGGAAAGGATAAGCTTTAGTGCCGTAAAGACGGAGGACGTAAAATGCATTTTCTGTTCTGCGAGAGGAAGGTACAGATAAGGTAACCCAGGTCGTGAAGCTCTCATGATCCTCTCCCAACTTTGGATTATTTCCAACCTGCAGAGGGAGAAGGAGGGGTGAGGCTGTGACATGTCAGCAGTGACGCCCTCACACAGCAAGAGCAGAGGATTGTGGGGGAACGAGACTCTGAGACAATGTCAGCTCTGATGCATGGCAGCTCGTTGGAGGTGCTAATCAGAGCAGGGCTAGGCCCCTGCTAGGATCAGGCGCGCTCTGCCTACATTAACCGCTTCACAGCTCCCCTGGCTACCAGGCCAGAGGCAGAAACACCAAAGTGACAGGTTTTTGTGTTGAGATAAACATGCGTAACGCTTCAACGACTGTTACAAAGGGTTTAGCCAAGTAGAACACCTTTTGGATTTCACAAAACATGAGGGACAAAATCATGAGGACACTTTCTCCTTTTTCCACAAACATACCAAGTAAATTTATATATTTTTTCTATATAGACAGCATTCATCTTTGTCCACCCTATCTTCTCTTTTAAACAACTAAAGACTATTCAATCTCACAATTGACATAAGAGATAAATTCAGATTTGTTTTAAACAAGTTTAGAAAACAAACCAAACAAATACCACATGTAACATATTAAAGTAACTTTCCATTAGAACGCAATGAATTATAGAATTACTACAGCCCTTTTGGCTTGTTTTCCATTGGTCAAGTCAAATGGTGGTGATGTGTTTTTATTTTAAATATTGTACCAACACTTCTTAATTTAAACAAACATGTACCCTCTCTTTTTTGTTAATGTTTGTCTATTTATTTATCACAAACAGAGCTAATGTATATAGTTGTCCAGTGTTTCAAACTGAACATGTCTCTGCATTGCACATTCAACAACTATGCACTTTTTCTATGACAGGAAGTAGCACGAAAAGCACCGGAACGTAACTGACGCGGCGATGCTGTGGGCTCTCACAAGGCAAATCTGTCCAGCCTCCATGCGGCAAACAATGCGACTTATTTCCTCTAAAGTTTTGGAACGAAAACCGTTTCCTTAGGTGATAATCAGTAACAACGTAGTAATGGTGTCAGTGTGTCACTGTTTGCTGGCATGCAGATGTTATGAACGAGGACAGGAAGACATAAGCACTGTTAAATTTACTGTAAGTGTTAGGAAATAAACAGAGATCTGTTCTCTACAAATATGTTTCATCAATATATTTAATATTTCTCTTAAGTAAATATAAAGCATTATGTTTTTTTTTATTTTTTCTTGGCTTAATTTGAAACAATTTACGTGCGTGCATGTGTGTCTGAGTAAAGACTAATGGGTCAGCCAATTTTTTTTTATTTTTAAAATGTATTTATTCTATTATTTAGTTTACCAAAGTTCTAGTTGCACTTCAAAAAAACCTAACAATAAAAAAAAAAAATTCTTGGGTTAAACAATAGTAATAAAATCTGCAGCAGTTCACATATTTTGTCAAAACAATAGAGACAGAAAAGTAAATGAATGTGGAAAATTCAAAATCCTATAAAACATTTGGAAATTCCTGTCTTTTTCTCTTAACTAATGTTTAAATCTGGCTCATTTTTTTCATTTCTGTCACAGTCACAAGAGTCCACTGATTTTAATGATCTTAAAATTTATTTAATTTTAATTAATTTTATTATTTCATGTGTTTGATCTCGAGATAGATAGTTGTCTCGACAAATAGTTGTAAACACATGAAAAAGAATTCTGTTTATATTGGTGAGAGTAAAGTGACGATGAATTTAATATCAGCAATAATATTGATAATAATTTTCTTCTAGTGTGTCTTAAAAGATAACACCTTTTTAAAATTATTTTAGTTGATGAAGCACTTCAATTTTTATTGTTTTATGAAAACACAATTACTACTTTATTTTGAAAAAGATCAAACTATTTCTTTTTGACAAAAGAAGATAAAAAAATAGGAGACTGAAATATAAACGGCAATCATCCAAACAAAAAATAACTCTTGTTAAGGTGGAGGGTCCTGGAAAACTTTCTTCTCTAAAGGAGAGTTCTGTCAAAAGGTTCACTGGTCTAAGCAGTCATTAGAAATCAAACCTTTTGAAAACATTTTTATCTCTTTTACATGAGCACTAAAAGTGTCTGTGAAATTTACATTTTAGAATTATTGTAAAAACTTTTTCATACCATGAGTGCTGAAAGAGCTCCCACAAAACGGCACAGCTGTTCAAGCTCACTCAACTCATTGTTCCTTTCTCCTTCGGATCTATTCTAGAAATTGAGACATCGTTCTACTTGGCATGCTGAGATCGATTTTCAGGTCACATGCAGGAGGACAGAGGGAAGAGAAGACGCAAAAAAAAAAAATAAAAAAAAACGGCTGGGAAGAGACTTGTGAGTCACTTCCTATTTAGGTGGGACAGCTAATTTTTTTAGATTTTTAGCTGACATCCAACACATGATTTACCGTCTGCTATGTTATCAAACTGTGGCTTAACTTGTCAGAAAAAATTTACTCTTATCGCTACTATTGTATTATGTGTTAAAATATATCTTAAGTGTGTTTCATATTGCTCAGAAATTGGTTTTACTTGTCATCCAACAAGTATGCTTGCAAATGAACGTAAATGATTATAATTTCAGTTCCTGATGACAAAAAATTGGTTGCATTTTGAGTCCAATTTCCATCCCGGTTTATCACTCCTGGGTGGCAACCTTAATGTTTACTTAATTATGCACACGAGGAAGACGAGGTTAGACTTGGAAATGAACTGGCAAGTATACTTACAAATGTTACGTTTTTCACAGATAACAGGCTTTTAACAGCACAAAAAAACAATGTGGTGTCTAGTTTGAAGAGCTTTAAAAATATGCTTTACCCTAAAATCTACTAGAATATGCAAATGAATGCATAAAAAATATATTATTTTCTCAGCATTTCAGATTTTTCTCCAAAAGCAAACATAGATGATAATTCTGTTCATTGAGCTTGAAGATATATTTTTTTGGAATTTTATAAAAAAAAATATATGTTTGTGTTTGTTTTACAAACAGGCTCAAAATTATGAAGGGATTGTTAATCTCAATATATTCAAGGAATTCAGTATGCGACTGGGCCAGACTTTGACCACTAGATGGTGGTAGAGTACTTCCAACATGATCCCCAGAATGTGTTAAATATGCATTTACTTGCACAAGTCAGATTTACATATCCCACCTTAGCTGTGTGACGATTTCAGGCAAATTCGGAACAATAATGTCTGCTAATGATCGCTGTAGGACCATTAGGGGGAGCTAAAGCTAGGGATAGCCTTGAAGAAGAAATCCAGCTGTAGAACTTGATATTACAACTTGCACTGGTGTTTGCAGCTTTAAACCTCCCGTCCTAAGTCACCAAATCATTTTTTATGCTTAAACTGGAAAAAACACAAAACAACTAAAACATTTGACAAGTTGTACAGTGCGTAGGTCACTGTAGCTGTAGAGAGAAAAAAAAATGAGAAGGGAGAGATCCAGAACAACAAAGGTGAGAGGCAAATACGTGCTAACGAATGATATGTAGGCGCAGCAGCTGCAGGCAGGTACGGAGGTCCATTGGGGACAAACAATGCAGGCTGCCTGAGATGGATTGCATGGAGTGCTGGACCCCCTACAGCCACACACAAAAAATACCACTACACTGAAATGCTCTAATTTGCTCCACATACATACCTATTCTAAACTACAGGGCCTGTTTGTGTTCAGGAGGAAGTAAAGGTCAAGCCTCTTTGCCCTGACTTTCTAAGACTGGATAAAAGTTGGTGTACAAAGTAAGGATTACAAACAAGCAGGGAAACAATAAAACTTTCAGGAGCTTTTAAAAAAAAAGAAACGAGGCAGTACTTTAATTTAGATCTCTTAAGAGTGAGTGGCCTGAATGTAAAATGTTAATTATGGGCACATGCTGGACTTTTTTCTTCTTCTTCTCGTTTTTTTTTTTTTTTTTTTTTAACATCTTCTTTCTGCAAGCCTCACTGTGGCATTGTCAGGCTGAAGTATGAGGGGTCTTTGGGGTTCACGGTCCACACAAAAGAGCAAGGAAGGAGAGTGTTGAGGAACGGCCCCTTGGCTGGGCTCGCGGCATGGAACACTGTACAATTAGCCAGCCCCTGCGTTCTGCCGGCTTATAATTATCAGTGCTTGCCTTAATTGACTCCCTTAGCCTGATGCAAAGGGACCCCCCCCGCACCCTCCACTTGCCCCCCTTTCTTTAAAACCCTTTCTCCCCCCTGCTAGATGCGGGCCGCCAAGCGCCATGCCAGGCTCTCCAAAGTCATTTAGAGAAGCGCTCATATTTTCGACACAAAAAAGGGGGAACATTTGGTGAGAGAGAATTCATCATCAGGTGTCTAGAGGTTTTCCTTAATAGAAAAGCTGAGTCCCACTGAGCGCGCTCCGTGTAGCGGCCAGCCACGCATGCTCAGGACCAGCAAGCCGCCATTCGCAGCGGGCCACAAGACATTAACATAATTTTATATAACACAGGCACCCGCACTGGAAATTTAATACATCTCAGCAAATACGAGACAGCCGTTTTGCATAATTTTTTTTTCTTCTCTTTCTTCCCTTGCATTCACTCTTCCTCCTGGCTCTATCTTGTCCTCCTTCCACGGATCTCTCCCGTACTCAATCCTCGACCTGCCTCCGTCTCGCTCTTGCTGCCACTCTGCTTTGCCCCCTCCTCTTCTTACACCGCCACCCCTCTTTCCTCACCCCATGGCGCTGCTCTCACTAGGAGAGGGGAAGTTCATTACCTCAGCTAAATCAGAATTAGTCCCTTCATTTTGACGGGGCGAACTTCATTAGAAAGGCCCTTCCTTAATCCAGCAGGGAGAACTGATGAATCTACATGGGGGCAATAATTTGCTTCACACAGCACATTCAGCCACTTCCTCCGACACCATCTTCCCCCCTTTTCTTCTCGCCGCCTTTCTGGCTTTTTGTTCTTATGGCTACATTTTATTAGGTCTTGAACAACAACAACAACAAAAATGACTGCGAAAGGAAAACACCTGCATATAATTAACTAATGGCAGCAGAGATGGGGTAAAGAATGAGGTCTGCAGTTTGGAATGTCCCGTCTCCCAACAGACTTTAAGGATCTCTGGAGCAGCGTTAGTTATCTTGGCTGACACTTAAACATAAGCAGAACGAACACAGATGAGAGCAAGCTGGGTCTGTGGGCTTTAAGGAACGATTCAATCTGGTGTTTCAAGCGCCGAGTTTCTTAACACATAAAGTGCCTTTCGAAGAGTATTTATACCCCTTTGTTCATATCCTTGCAACTTTTCCACTTTCTGTATTTTACACAGATATTATAAGATCGATCCTAACAAACTTAGACATATATATAAGGAAATAGATTCATGGTTTTCAACAATTCTGATCAAATTAAATTTATAACAAGGTGTGCATTTGTATTAATCCACCCTTTACTTTGTTGCCCCCGAATAAAATAAGTATGGCACATTAATGTGAGAAGCAATCAAAGAGGCTCATTGCATTTCTGGAGAGCACCAGAGATTCATGCCTGAAATCAACAACAAAACAACTCCTTAACGTGCAAATCACAAGTCTGTCATTTATGGCAGAGTAGGGGGAAAAAAACAGTCACTGATGGAAACTTATAAGGCGTAAAGGAAATGAAAGTTTGGTCACAGAAATGTGAAAAAACAACAACAAAAAACAGAGTTACTGGTAATTATTTTAAGTGTTTTATTTTAGTCTATCACATAAAACAGCATAAAAAAGCAGTCTGGTGTGTGATTTTAATGGTTCAAAATGTGAATAAATTCAAGAGGGGCGAGCGTAGAGGCACATGCAAGAGAAAAATCTAAATCTGAGCCATGCTACACTACATCTTCCTTTCATGCTTTCTCTGTGTTTTTCTTTTTTTTTTTTTGGTTTTCTTTTTCTTCATATAGAAAGAAAATGTTTTGCAAGCTTCTCTGCAGACACAGAGCTCCAACAGTGGTTTAGATTCTCGCAACAAAGTAGAGAGCGAAGAGATGTGAATCAGGACAGACAGCCCCTGACTGCCATACCACAGCGCCTGGTGTCAAACAGATGTGCAACTTGGCAGCTATGCTCCCCAGAAAACAGAGAACCCATGGATTTCAGGGTGGTTTTTAGTCGTGCTACCCTCCCCATCTTTCAGCACTCCTCCTGTCCCCCCAAACAGTCTGAACTCCCCCACACTGTGCCCCTGCAGTCACCCTCCCTCATCACCTCCACACAGGGGTCCCCTGACAGGTAATCTTGTCCCTCGAATGTGAAATCTCCGACAGCGATGCCCCGCGCTTTTACCCCCTGCCTCCTCGGCTGATGGGTAAATTGGAATGGCGCACCCTGCTGGCGCGGAGAGCTCTGAACAGACAGCAGTACACACACGCTGGGGCGCCCCCCTCACGCGCTTCTGTCTAATATAGTGGACATGCACACTCGTTTTCGAGCCGCGATATCTATGCACAGACACATGTCCATGCATGTATGTGCGCCGGGGAACACAAAAAGCCAAACGCTCCAAAGCTTTAGGTAAACCACATACGCAGCCTCATAAACACAAATACGTACAGACGCTCTGTGGGTTCAGTCTCATCTGCATACAGATTGGATACAAAATAAAAAAAAAAGGCACAGATACTGAGCTGAGTCAATATATGTTGAAATTTAAATAAGCATCATCTGAAATGGCTCAGCTTGTGTCCTTTTTCCAGAAACTGCACCTGATTTGCGTTGCCATGGTTTCTATTATGTGTACACCGTTGGGGAGAAGAGACAAAATAGATGAAAAAGTAGAAACTAGAGAATAGATGTGCATGTTTTTTTGGCGCCCCATGCGTGGATATGGTAAGCACTACTAACTCTGACGTTTATAACAAGGACACTGTAGCATCAATTTATTACTAAGAGAGGAGGTTTGTTTTTTTTTCTTTGAATCAGCCATGGTTTCTAAGAGGCTTGCCATGGCTGTCCAAAACTTTGCCACCCTCTCTCTCTGCAGTCAATGTTATGAAGCGTGCATCTATGGTTGAGTCCACCCTCAAATCGCAGGGACATCCTAAATAGTCGGTGTGACCTAACGGGGCTAAAGATCACTGCAGCAGAAGCCACAGAGGCCTCCCTGTCAAAGACGGTGCATTTGCGGTGGGATGGGGGAGGCAGGGGTGAAGAGAAGCCAGAGGGAGTGAGCCGGAGACATGACATACATTTCATTATGTTTAAACCAACTGTGGGTTCAACTCAGAGCCTTGGATTTCCAGCCCTGTCTCAGAGGATGGAGTAAGTGGAGGTGTAAGAGAATAGTGTTTTACAAAAAACACAATAGGTAGGTGGACAAAGGCAGGCAGCTGGACTAATTGCTCAGGAGCTTGTAGGGATATTTTTCTAAGTACCTCTGTTTGAAGCACAACTGACAAGATATTTGTGGAAAATGTCACCATAGAAAAGATAATAAGACGTAAAGTGTGATAGCACTAAAAACAAATAAATGTTTTTTGTGGGGGGTTTTTTTTCTCCATAAAATAGGCACATATACGTATTAAGACACAGTGAACTTCTCCACTTTTATCCAAAGACAAACCTCTATCGTCATCTTTCTAAAATAATGGCTTATGTCACTCTCAGCACCTTTTTCTTTCCAATAGATGATTTAGACAATTGAAAAAAAATATATTTTTGGCGAAAAATGACTTAGGCCATAATTTTAGGAAGGTGATGGTAAGTGGCCTAATGCTACAGAAATCAGTAAACAATTTTAAATTGTATGCAGAATTACAAATGCACATTTAAAAGAAATGTTTAAAAAAAAGGTGTAGTATGCTTCTTCTCTTTTGCCTCTTTACCAAAATGATATTCAATGAAACTATCTTCAGCAGCTCACCTGTTTATTACTGCATGGTAGTATAAATTCATCTGTGAAGATTTAAGAGGTTTGTCACAGAACATTAGAGAACAAACTGCACCATTAAGACTAAGGAACATAGAAGATGGGTTAGGAATAGAGATGGGGATAATGGTTAGGCTATAAAACAACATCACACAGTATTTTGAAAATCAACATGACATCCATAAGTTGTAAACAAATCTAGCCTTTATGTAAGAAAAGAGAAACAAAGACATTTTTGAAAGAATGCCATAAAAAGTCTCAGTTGCAATAAACTATGCAGGTCACGTGGTTTCAATCAATGGAAATAGATGGTCTGGACAAAAGAGACTGAATTTGAACTTTTTGGCACATTAACTTATCAGCCCCGGTGAAACACGGTGGTAGCAGCATAAGGTTTTTGTGATGCTTTTCTTCAACAGGGGCTGGGAGTCAGGTCAAACTTAATGGGATGGTAAATGGAGCTAAATACAACGCAATCCCAACAAATAAAACTCAAAATTAAAATAAATTAAAGGCTGCCAAAGGTGTGAGACTATCAGCCAGAGATGCACTTTAAAGTTTGTTATAATAACCTCATAAAGTATGAAAAGATTAAAGGGGTGTGGATGCTCTTCAAATTAAGCAACTTTTTTTTTACTTCAAAAAAGTTCAAATGTTGATGCTTTAAATGGCATTTCTTTGAACAAGCAAACGCAATCATAGAATGACGACAGACTGGAGAGCATTACTGATTTCAAGGATGTCAGCAGGAAGCTTTTACAACGAAAGTTCTTCAGGAACCACGACAACTTATGATTGTCAAAAGATGGTCCCAAAAGGAGCCTCTGGAATGGACAAAAGTGAGCGTGCTCCGACCAGGGTTAGGTTGAGGTGAAATGCCCATTCTGACTGAGGGTTAAGGGACTCTACAGCCTGACTTTTTGCCCAGAGCTTCTCAGCTCTGAGGGTTGTTCGTCTTCGCAGAGCAGCTGAAAGGAAAGATTTGCTGTCACTGCTGCTACATAATCAAACAAAATATGCACTTTTATGTAAAAATAAATGCATATTGTTAATTCCTTGGTGTGTTGTGACAATGGCTATAGGATTACAAAACACTGCTATTGTTGCTCGCTTGGGGGGAGCCCCAGCTCATTAAGCTTCAAACACATCATAAGTTTTGATTATTCCATCTACTTCATTCTCTTAATATAGTGACAAACTCCCGCTATTTTGTTGCCAATCTCCTTCCAGCTGTCACATCCTTTGAAAGATCACAAAAGCCTTTCAAACACGCTTGTGATACGTCGTCAGATTCACCAGACGTCGCTTGATTCCCCCATTGAATTTGTAGGATTAACTTGCGGAAGAAAACGTCTCATATTTCTTAACCGGTTGCTGTGTCTGACATCAGAGCATATGAGATTCTAGCGCACTGGTATTGTCCAGGGGAGGGAACCCTCACTCTAACCGTCAGCGCTCCACCAAGTGGGACAGAGATGATTAAAACACACCATGGCTGTGACTGACAGACTCCCTGCCGCTTCCAGAAGATGACATGTCTCCAAGTCGCTCAGAGAAACAACTCCTCTAATTTTAACTCCGACTGTAACACCGACCCCCACTGTCAAAACCAACAAAAAACAGCCATGCTGAGATTCTTAACCATAGTAAAAAGTGATAACAACCAAACAGAGAAATAAGTTTAAAAAAAAACAACAACGGAGAGGGAGGAGACAAAAGGGCTGAGAAGGTGCCATTTCCCTCCGGTGCACACAAACAGCAGGAACCTGTGAGCTTGTGACAACACCTTCAAACATTTCTGTTACTTTCACAGAAATATCTGATGCTGATGCTCCAGTGTGATGCTTCTGCAGCAGTCTTCTCCCAGCGCACGTTCGACTTGGCAACATCTTGCTTGCCAAAAAGAGAAAAAGAAAATAAAAAAAAGAAAACACACACACAGAGACACACACACACACACCTAACTGACTGTGTTTGACATTTGTCATGACAGGAATACAGTGAAAGGAGGAAAGAAAAGGGGGGAATGAGAGGTGGGAGTAGAGGAAGGAAAATGGAGGAGTGGCAGAGGATGATCGATGTGTGAAATTGCTGGTGTGAAAGAAATCATTTGGCCCTTCTCCGCTGGTTGGTTGCAACTACTCCCCGTTATTTCTCGACGAGGAGGACGGAGCAGTAGTTCCTTGTTATTGTCACGTTGTCTGGCAAGCTTGGGGTCGTGTACTAAATGATTCACAGAAAAAACTGAATCTTTTACATTGGCGTCAGCGATTCAGCCAGGCGCCCTTGTGGGGGAATTCTTTTTGTGTGTTTTTATTGAAGTCTGCACTGAGCGCGCCCAAAAGCTCTGACAGGGGGCCCCCGAGGGCGCTTGTCTTCACCTCCAAATCATAAGATGGAGAGACGAAGCTCCCTCTGTGCTCTAAATTATACCCCTCGAAACCCCCTCTTGCACACAGAGTTGCAACCCTGCCTTCCCTGACCCCTCCTCCCTCTTCCCCCCCAAAATAAAACAGAAGCAGAGAAGAAAGGCCCTCAGTAACACAGTCCCAGTGGAAGGGGCTCCCACGATTGCACTGAACTGCTGGAACAGCTGACAGACTCGATGCGGCAGGTCTGTTCCCTGCGGTCTGTCAGACTTGGTGCTACAGCCTGATGGTTAGTACTTCTTGATGTGGCTTCGTTGCTTGCCCCTTATATAGCACACCCCTCCACCGACCCGAGGAAGAACCGTGGCTCTACCTCACGGCTCCCCTTTATGTTTCATAATCTCTTACTTTAGTCCCAGATAAGTACAAGACCTGTGTGAGGCTCCTGGCACGCTCAAAGGAAGTAAAGGGGAGCAGAAAGGGTTGTGAAGGGGGTTGGTGTAATTTGAGAAGTGGGCACAGCTGCACAAACAGAGGTATCGTGGAATTTCTGCCTGCATGATGGAATTGACTTTGCATGAATCGCCCCCCAAATTAGCCCATTTTCCACATGTCTCCATGAATATGACAACTAATCCAGTATCATGGGTATAATGCTGGAGCTGGAGCTGGAGCAGCAAAGCCAGCCCAGCGTAGCTTGTGTGTCTTTTCTCGAGCTGTGAAATTCTCCCTCTCTGGCCCTTCTTGGCTAAAGACCTCATCCAAGTCCTGCTGCCTGACCTGTCAAAAGCAGGCCCCCTTCCCTCTCAAATGCCCAAACAAAATAAACCAACAACCGCTGGCAGGGTCAGAGGGCAGCTGCTCTGGGTGCTTGGACTCTGGTGTGCCCTCAGATTGGTGGAAAGGGCAGCGAGTAAAAAGGGAATCTTTTCAAAGTTAAATCTCCAGCTGATGGCTTAGAGCTCAACACCCCACAGTTTGTTTCTCTCACTGCTGTCAGGAGTTTTGCCTGAGCCATTTGGAAGGATTAGAAAAAGTGGGGGAAGAGGGAAATTCGACTGGGCAGAGCGTGTGTACTGCAGGATCTGAGTGATGGCTCCAAGACCCCTTGGAGAGTGATAAACCTTTGACCTTGACAGCCCCCTGTGGTGACCCCTGACCTCTGGCTCTGTGCCACAGAATCAGGAAGACAGGTGCAGGCAGGAGAGTGACCACATCCCCATCATCTTGGCCGAAATTTCACTCAACTGACCTACAGTAGCTGTCCTGATGGCCTGGACCGAGAAAGCTATGCTTGTATAACACCTTATAAAACTACTCCTGGAACTTTTTCTGCATTTTATAATGTTGCCACGACAAAGTTGAACGTATTTTACTGGAATTTTAGGTGACACACCTACAAAATACAGCACATCATTGTGAAATGGAAGAAAAGGAAAACATAGTTTTAAAAAAGTATGCTAAGCATCTGAAAAAGTGTGGCACGCATTTGCAGTCACACGCTCCGAGTCAACACTTTGCAAAACCCCTTTGTTTCAATTATAGTTGGAAGTTTGTCGGGGTATGTCTCTACAAGGTTTCCACACAAAAAGTTAATATTTCTACCTGTTTTTTGTCAGATACTTTCAATTATATCTGAGTTTGTAGTTTAACTGGGTTTTCAATCTTCTTTGATCTACACCAATTATTCTTAGTTCTTTTCCTCAGGGCCCCACATTCCTTCATGTTTTCAATGCATCTTTGCCCCAGCACACATGACTCAAAGAACCGCATTGTCTTCTCAGCATGTCATCAAGTGCTGCAGAAGCTTAATAACTGCCATGCATTTATGTCAAATGTGCTGCAGTAAGGAAACACTTAAAACGAGGGATAGGGTGAGTTAGTTCAGTTAGGACAGTGGGCCCTGAGTTCCAGAATAGAGAACCTTTGTTTTAAACCACTGCAATGTTGATGTTGTTTGAAGGCGGTGCCACTGTATTCCTTGGTCTTCATAACTTCTTCAGACTTGTGAGGTCTTCATAGAACAGGTGGATTTATGCTGAGGTTCAATTACGCACAAGTGAACATTATCTACAAATCTACTTCTGAAGTCAAACTATTGCACTGGATTTTATTTAGATGTAGTAACTGACGTTCAAGGAGAAGAAATTGGTTTTTGAAGGCCTGGTCATTTAAACAAGCCACGACAATACTAGAAATATTTGGCAGGTATACCTTAAACAAAGATGCAATTCTAATAATCGCAACCGAAAACTTCAAAACTAAGAAAATGTTTTAGAGAACAGCACAAACAAAGTGCTTAGTGAAAAGATTAGTTATATATATATATATATATATATATATATATATATTTTTTTTTACATAACTAAAACAGAGCTGTGCATAGAGTAGAGGCATGATGACGCATCATGAGTTTTTCTTAGCTAAAGCAGGCACGAGCACCAAGGTCGTGCCAGTCCATCTTTCTACAGATTCCTCTCCACTCCCCAGGCACTTCCCTCATGTATTTGGCCCAGTGATTCAGTGCCTTGCATTAAGAGCAATTCACCTGCCTCCAGCATCCCAGCGGCACAAGACCCCTGGGGAAACCAGGTGGAGCATAAAAAAGTTCCACATATGGTAAAGTCAAGCTGCTCGGAGGCTGCTGAGTGTCTGCTGTGGGGATAGAGGCTCCTAAAAGGCCCAGCTGGTACTTGGAAAAGGGCTTCTGCATTACTACACCTCAGTGTCTGCTTGGGCTCCCCTTTGGAAAAGTGTTGGCCAGCGCACATGACCAGCCATTTTAGATTTCTCTCTCTACCCCCGCCTCATCCCTCGCTCACTCCCGTCTTCCAACTGGTTCTGTATCCAATTGAACATTTGGTCCTCCACTGCTGGTTAATCAAATTCCTCCATCTGGCCCCCTATCCCTGTGGAACACAAAAGGTGCAGCCTGAGCCCCCGTCCAAGT